TGTCAAAATAACTTTCAGAATTCCTACTAAATTGGTGGAGGTGCATTTCAGCATTTGTGGGGGATGCAGGGAATGTACCCCATCAGCAGCCAAAGGGAGAGGGGAAATCCTTCTGAAAAATCTCAGTCTCAGATTGGAAAGACCAAAGCAAAATATCCCGAAGTGCCAGGAACAAACACAGCCAGCCTGGATCTGCCAGGGTTTCTGTGAAGCCTCTGCTTCAGCAGCTTCCCCTGTTGTTCCCCAAAGCACAGGGAGTCAGAGCTCCCCGTCCCACGCAGGGTGAGGATCTCACCTGGAAGCTGTTCTTCTCCCCACTGCTGTGGCTCTCTATCTCCAGAGCTCTGTGGCTGTCCTGGGGGGTCTGTGAGCGAGGAGGGCTGCAGCGAGACATAAGCACAGGGAAGGAGGTGAAGATTTCCATGACAGCCTGGGAGCTGGGCTCGTTCTGCCCAGAGTGCCCCGACCCTGCCCAGGCTGGGTGGGCAGTGCTGCCACAGCTCAGCCACCCCAGACACTGAGCCCAACCCTCGCCCACGCTCCTGGGGGCCCTGGCACAGAAACAACAGGCAGCAAATGAGGGCTGAACTGGGGTTTGCTTTGAATCCCCACTGCCCAGGCCAGGCCAGGCAGTTCCATGTCCCACTGTGGAGTTTGAGTCCTGGAGTTTGGCTTTTTCTGAACACCATTTAGGCTGGAGGCCTCAGAGCCCATCAAAATCCAACAAATGCATTCCTGGCACTGCCTGCCCACCTGCCCCAGGGCTGAGCTGCTGTGTGACACTCCTGGAAACCTGCTCTGGGTTCTGAACAGGCATGCACACAGGTGTTCACATGGAAACACACAGCACACATCAAACGCTCACCCCTAGCAATGGCACATGGATGTATGTAAGCACACTCATGCAGCACTTCTGTCTGTGCCTCTGGGACACCCAAACGTCCCTGGGGCCTTGGCAGTGCCCTCCCTGTGCCCAGCAGAGCTCCTGCTCACCTGTCACAGTGGGAGCTCTCCCTGGAGCTGCTCCTGCCCGACTCGTGCTGGGCATCCAGCAGGATCTTCTCCATGTCCCCGTTGTGGATGGAGAGGGAGGCTGGCACCTGCTCCTGGCTGCCCGCGGACACGGAGCTGCCGCTGCTGCTGCTGAAGTGCAGCTCCACCCAGGACCCTGCTGGGCAGAAAGCAGAGCTGAGCCCCACAGCCCCAGGGCTTTGCTACAGCAGCCCGGGTACAGCCGTGTAGCCAGGCTGAGTGACAGCCCTGTGCTCCTGCCCAGTGACACTGCGGGGACAGAGCCAGCCCTGCCTCCCAGCTCAGCAACAGCAAGGAATGCAGAGTGCAGGGAGCCGAGCTGGGACGGCTCACAAGGCCGGGGAGCAGCTGCTCAGTACATTGTGTCTCTCTGCACATACAGATCTTTTCCTTTGCCATAGATTCAAGTTTTATTGTTCAACATAGGTGGCAGTCAAAATAACCTCAAGGACTTTTGCTGCCAAAGTCCAGTTATTCATTTATTGGAATTATTTTGGGCTCCAGAGGCCAGGGACAGTTTTGTGCAGCCTTTTTTCAGTCCCATTTGTAGGTGTTGCTGTGAAGCAACAGCGGGTGTGTGGCAAGGGCTGTCATGGGTTTGCTCCTCGCAGTATATTTAACACGGTCACATGGGTTTTGTTTTCCTTAGGAAGGGAACAACAACTCCCTCACTCCAGGGGCTGGAGCTGCTCTCTCCCCTAGAGAATCCTGGAATGCTTTGGGTTGGAGGAATCCTGAAGCCTGTCCATTCCCACCCTGCCATGGCAGGGACACCTTCCCCTGTCCCAGCTGCTCCAGCCCCAATGTCCAGCCTGGCCTTGGGCACTGCCAGGGATCCAGGGGCAGCCCCAGCTGCTCTGGGCACCTGGGACAGGGCCTGCCCACCCTGCCAGGAACAATTCCTGCCCAAAATCCCACCCAGCCCTGCCCTCTGGCACTGGGAAACCATTCCCTGGCTCCTGTCCTTCCAGCCCTCTGGAACTAAGTTCAGGGAACACAAAATACCTGAATTACACAAATGCCAGAGGAATCCCACTGTGGAACAGATGTGGGCCAGCCACAGCCGTGCACAGCAAACAGAGCAGCGAGGACAGGAGGAGGGAAGTCCCTGAAATGTGGGGAAGGATGTCTAAGGAAGCAGCAGGGAAAGAGAGACACAGACAGTGGTGATGGGGCTGTTGGTGCTCGTTGGGCACAGGTCAGGGTGTAAAGGCACAGCTGGAACTGCTGGAGCTGCAGGGTCCCTGCCCAGCCAGCCAGGGCTGCTGGAGCAGCTTTACAGGAATGCAGGTGAGGAGAAGCCAGGGCCGGGGTTTGGTGTGAAGCAGGAACATCACACGAGCAGAGATACCCCAGATATCCTGGCTGGGAGGAGACTGAGAACTCCAAAATCAAATGGGAACAGCACGAAGCCAAACTGCCTCATGTTCAGGAACAACACGAGTATCTCCCTTCTAAATACAGACACCGCCATCTGGAGAACCAAAGTACCACAAAACCTGCTGGATAAAAACATTCCAGGCCACAGAGCTTGGAAGGGACGCTTTTCTTCAAAAACCCTTTTCCTTCACAGCTGGTTTTGGCTGTTTGGGATTATTTGGGAATTTCCCCCCAGGTGACAGTGCCTGGTGTGTGGCAGGGAGTGCATTCAGAGCCAGACAAACCCTTCCCTACCCTTTCTCCCAAAATTTATGGAAGCTCAATTTGTTACCAAAAAACGATCACAACCACTAGAGCTCAAATTAAGCCTATCTGCTGAAATCTTACTGGGAACAGTGCTGGGAATGCAGGATAAAGCAGGGAGAGGACTGGGACTGCAGCAGCCAGAGGACAGCAGATGTGGTTTACAATTTTCCCTTTTTTTCTCCTTTTGGACAGTCCTCCGAGAAAGGCTGTGCTGGAGCACATGGAACAGGCTGTGATATCACCGTTTAAAGATAAAAGAAGCGGTGTTTTTGCGAAGCTGGAAATAGAAACAGAGCAAAGCCCACGAGAGGCGGTGCAGCGCGGCCAGACGAGCGACAGACTCGGGACAGAGGGGTCTGTCACGATATCCCAGCCCAGGACACATGTGCGAGCGCAGACCAGCACCGCCGGGTACCGGATCAGCAATGGAAAGCTTCATTTTCTTAAGATACAGCTTTCAAGGCCTGGAGCTAAGGAGCAGAGTCCCCCAGGGCGATGAGAATGTGCCCCTCGATCGCCGCAACCTCCGCGGCCGCACCGCCCGTGCCCGGCTACTCCCGGTCCCGGTGACCGCGGTGCCAACAGCCGGTCCCGGGACTGCCACAACCCCTGCTCACGGCACATGCAGCCGGCCTGCCCCCGGGACACCGGGCTGGACACGCACTGCGGCACTCACCGACTATCGCGGCCCAGAAGGGCCCCGCAGAGCCCGGGCAGAGCCCTCAGAGCCCGGGCAGAGCCCGGGCAGAGCCCTCAGAGCCCCGGCAGAGCCCTCAGAGCCCGGGCAGAGCCCTCAGAGCCCCGGCAGAGCCCTCAGAGCCCGGGCAGAGCCCGCAGAGCCCCGGCAGAGCTCGGGCAGAGCCCGCAGAGCCCTCAGAGCCCCGGCA